ACAATAAGTACTTCTTGCCAAAATGAACAAACATACAGAAGCTGAAATGATTTAGAGGTGATTCTAACATAGTAACAGGCACACTTCCTTAACCTGTTAAGAGCTTGACTGTGATGCCTGGCATGGTGGTAGAGGCCTGAATCTGAGCATCCTGGGACGCTGAGGCAGGAGGATTACAAGTTTGAGCCCAACCTGGTCTACTTAGCAACTGATCAAGACCCTGTCTCAAAATAAAAAATAAAAAGGGATGAGGATGTGGCTTAGTGCAACAGCTCTGATTTCACTCTCTGGTACTGAAAAAAAAAAACTGAAATAAAAAGGCTTTACTGTGAAACTTTCTCACAGAACCTGGTTTCCTGGGGAAGCCAGAAATCAAAAAGGAAAACTTGCAGTCATGGTATAAGTGAGCCACGCCCGCAGGTTTTCTCTTCCTTGGAGTCAGGTGATTGAACACTCACATGAAGATCACTCAGCCCCGAGGACATGTAAGTGTCCCCCCTTGCCATCCCTGTCCCACGGTGGCCTGTGGTCACAGGACAGAGGAGAGAGCTGATGAACAGCGATGACCTGCGAACTTAGGGTTCATGGTTGAGGGTGGACCTACCGGATGCTCCTCCCCCAGCTTCCACTGAAATAACTCAATAAAGAAAGTATAACAGACCAGCATTGGAAAAGAGTCATGGTAACAGGTATGGGCAAAAAATTAGAGAATCTAATGACATGATGCCAATTCTGTGTAAATGTTTTCTCTACTTACCTACACCCCCAGAGACAATCCGAGGAAGAAATGTATAAAAAGCAATGGCTATCTCTCAGGAATAGAATTACTGATTTTTAAAATTTTTCTAAGAAAAATAAACAAGGTTCTCTACAATAAACAAGTTGTTTTTAGTTTTTGAAGTCTTAAATATTCTTTTGGGGGGAAGACAAGAATGGATATCCCCAGATTTTGTGTTTTTGAAACTAAAAGAACTCCCCATGGCAACATGCCCATCCACCCCAGAGCAGGCATCCTGTTAGCCACACGGAAACTTCCAGAGAAAAACTGCTGCCACAGAAAGGTGGGTGTGCCTCGACATCTGGCAGGCCAGCGAATTCTCCCCCGCGGCCCATCGGAAGTGGAAGGCGGTGGCCAAGAACCGCCCTGCCCTGTGTGGCATGTGGCGTTGGGCCTGCCCTCTATGGCTGTTTCCTGGCTTTCCTTCGCAATAACTGCGGCAGTACCTGTGTCAGCCTGACTTGGCCTTCCCTTCATCTCTGTTTATGAAAACAATACCACAAAGCTAAGTGAGCAAATATCATATCTAGATTGTTTTTCCCCTCCAGCAGTTTTAAAAGGAGATTGATTTCATTTGGAAGGCATTTCAGGAGAAAGAAGTTTCTTAAAGAAACACACACATTTGTAAGCTCAGCACTCTAGAAATTCTTGCTTTCTTAATTAGAAAAACAGCATTTCCTTTTGGAGTGATAGCTGGGATTCCAGAGGCCTCACTATTTCATGGTGCTGTCTCAACTGCCGTGGCTGAGGTGTTCCCTTTTTGGAGGCAGAGCCCAATTTGTGGCAGAGATGGAGCCTGCACGGTAGAGTCCTGGGTCATGGCCAGCTGTTGGTGACATGAGGTCACTGGAGCTCTTGGATCCTTTCTGCACCTACTAGGTCCTTTCTGCACCTACTCACATTAAAGAGAAGCTCTGAGGACCACAGTTACTAAGGACCTCAGCTCTTCTCAGCCATTCTTTCTGCATGCAGCCTTGCTTTGGAATTTGTCATTCCCACCTTAAGGACTCCCGTCCCCCATGGCACACGGGAACATTTTAAGGCGTCTCCCCCACCTCCTCCATCTAGGTTTTTCAGGTCATCATGAAGTAGGCCTTGGCTGACTGTGTGAGTCTGGCTGGAGATAAAACTCCTCCTTTAGGGCTGGGGATTTAGCTCCATGGCTTATGCACCTGCCTGGCAAGCGTGAGGTCACAGGTTTGATCCCTAGTACCTAAATAAATAAATTCCTCCTCCAGAGTGGGCAGCCACTGGCTATGGCCTAAGCAGTGCCTATGAAGTGTGCTAGGGTCTTAGAGCTCTCTTCAGGAGTGAGTATAAGCTCCACGAACTCACTATGTTTTTACTTATTTTAGAATACAGCTTTTGAACAATCTCATGAAACATGCCTGCAATTTCTCTCTGATACGTTCCAGTGCAATACTGAATTCTTTCTAAGCAGTCATGTGAAATCCTGGTCCTGTAGTCTGGTTTTTATTTACTTTTTTTTTTCTTCATTACTAAGGATTGAATCCCCAAATCTTTGTTGTACTAGACTTTGCTTACTTTCTGTTGTCCTGTGCTTAGGTAAAAGAATTTGATGTAACTTCCACAAGGACTGTGACTTCATGAGAATGTGGGTGTACAGTGCTTATTTTAATTACTTGGCTACATCAAACCCTCAGGAAGCCACACAGGTCCTATCTAATCACATCAAATGGAAATAACTTGAATTCTCAAAGAATTCCCTAAACCCTCCTTCCCTTCTTTTTGAGAGGGGGTGGTCTCATTTGGCCAGAAGAAGGCAGTCTTGCATGGATGGTTTCCCTGGAGCAGGGACATTGCTAGGAGCACTTTTAATAAAAATGGCAGGTATTTGTAGTGAACACTCCATTTGACTCTCATGTTTTAATGAACACCTAAAATGGCCAGGGCTACACAAATACAAACACCAGTATGACCTAGCCAGCAGCGGATAGCCTATGGGGCTCATGTCACAGCCGGTCACTTATTAGCATTGAAAGCTCTAACAGCCATCACTGAAGGAGTTTGTGATCTGTTGAGAGTATTATAATATCAGTCCAACCTGTTTTCTCTAGTGCAAATAACTACCTGGTCCTCTGCAGAACCTGGAGGAAGATGCGTTATGCTCTGGAACAGCCAGGGCACAGATAAAGCAGGGATGGGCAGAGAAGGAAGTTGGCCTGCAGAGCCAGCCCCAGAGGACACTGAGGCAAGGACAGCTCTTCACAGATGGTCCATAGTTGGATGGCAACCAAGCACTGGACACAGGTGCTCCAGGGAAGTGACCTTCAGCACTCTCTGATGTCAGGGCAAGGTCTGGAGAGAGACTCAGCTGAAGGCCATCAGTCTGTAGCACTGTAAAAAGCTGAGGGAACAAAACCTCCAAAGGGTGGGAGTCTGCTTGGCACCCCCAGAGTCCGTAACCTTGCAGTGGAGAAAGCTGTCCAAAGCCATCCCCTCAGAAGCTGAAGAGGCAGGACCTGAAACCAAGGCAACCTGGCCAGGAAGTCTGTGCTTTTAACTACATCGCTTTTATGCAGTGTAGGTCAAGGTCTTACCACGCTATCTGCAGGGACTACTTCCAGGACCCTCACACCCAAATCGGCAGATGTCCAGGTCTCTTACTTAAGATGGCACATCGTTGCAATCTATGGAAACCTTTTGTCTTCTTTAAATCATCTCTATACTCCTTCTAACACCCAATACAATGTGAATGCTATGTAAATAGTTCTACTGTATTGCTTAGGGAATGATGACAAGGAAAGTCTACACATGTTCAGGACAAACACAACTCATACCTAACTAGAGTTTACACAAAGCTGGGCATCACAACACATGCATGTAATTCTAGCACTCTGGGAGGCTGAGGCAGAAGGGTTTCCAGTTCGAGCCAGCCTGGGCAACTAAGCAACTTAGTGAAACCCTGCCTCAAAATAAATATAAAGAACTGGGGATGATGGAGTATGTTGCAAAGGCCTATGCACTGGAAGGTTCCATCCATAGTACCTACTGCAAAGCAAAAATGTAAGTGAGAAGCAAGGCCAGCAACCCTCAGGCTCCCAGCGCTCTGGAGAGACAGGACCTCTGAAATGGCACAGGGCTGGGTTTGTCTACACAAATAGATTCAAGCCAATGCCTCCCATAGCAAGTTCAAATTTTGCATTTTGTAACTTTCTGGAATTTCTTTTGCTGAATACTTTCCTTCTGTGGTTGGTTGGATCTGTGGATGCAGAATCCAGAGTCAGAACCTGCCAGTAAGGAGGCCTGATTGTATTTCCAAGTGGAGGCAAAGTCAAGGCCCAAGTCATCCTTGGGGAGCACGGCTTTTTGATAATGTAGAGACCGGAAGTGAGAAGCCCATGTGTGTCTATGTAAAATACTCACTATAATGCACAATTTAAAAGATATGAAGAGTACACAGAAAAACAAATCTCTTGTCACTCTGGTCACCTTCATTCCCTGGATACAGCCACTGTTATCAGTTTCTGGAATCTTCTTAGGGCACACATACCTAACGCAGTCACATATGGATGTCAGGATTTGCACTGTGGATCACCTTGGCCACACTGGTGTGCATCGTGCCCCTTACAACCGACACCCAAACTTAGCGGCCATGGCGCTGCTGGGCAGACAGAGCTACCTTGAGCCACAGCCCTTCCATCACGCCAGGATTTACTGTGGTTCACTGACCCACACCTCTCTTGATGGGCATTTTAGATGGCGTTAATCTTTTTAAATAACAAATAATGCTGTAATGCACACGAGGCAGTTCCCACAGGTGAAATCATTTCTGATGTAAAGTCCCAGAATGACTACATCACAGGGTCTACGCAGCTTTTATTCCATTAGAGCTAACTTGCTCTTTATTCAGGTCTCCGCTCAATCCAGCACGTTTCCTCAAATCCCTACTCTTTAATATGGGACAATAAGTCGTTACCCCCCAGTTCTCTTATAATGAGTGGGGCGGAGCACTGGCTTGCATGCTTTAAAGATTCTTATGTTTCCTCTCCTGTGAAGGACCTTTATTATTGTGTGCTTTTGTTATGGGCTCCTCTTTTACCTAGGAGTTCGTTTTTGCTGTGACAAATATTTAGAATGTCTTTTAAGAAACAAGAGCCTCCAAGGAAGCCAGAGATAGAAAGCAAAAGCAGTGCTGTGTGTACCTGAGGCCGGAGCTGGCTGGCGGGTAGGGTGGGGTCGTCCAGGACCTGAGACTCACCTCTCTGTCCCTGCCGCCTTATGTCTGTCCCCAGCTCCTGTGCTCCTCCGTGCAGAAGGCCCTGTTTGAGGAAGAGGACCACGTCAAGAAGCTGCAGCAGAAGGTGGCGACCCTGGAGAAGCGTAACAGGCAGCTGCGCGAGCGGGTGAAGAAGGTCAAGCGGTCCCTGCGCCAGGCCCGGAAGAGCGGGCGCCAGCTGGAGCTGCTGCACCAGAAGCTGAGCGCGAAGCTGGCGGCGGCTGCAGCGGGGGAGGCACCGCACATCAATGCGCTGGGGCGTGAGCCCGCGCACGCCCCCTTCCGGCACGGGTAGTAGGTGCAGCGGGCGGCTGGGCCCGCAGCATCCCTGCAGGCTTGGGGAAAGGCGGGCTTTCATAGGTGCACTTGTTTCAGACCTTCTAGAAGATCTCTGTTCTGTATAGTCTACCCGGGTAGAATGCCAAGTCTTTACTTTCCCCTTGGTTGCTGGCCTTAGCCTCAGACTGCATGCTTCCTCCTCCTGGCCTGGTCACAAACACGGTGCCCAGAACAGGTGTAGCAGGACCCTCAAGGACAGAGTGCTGGGCCAGGGTCTGGCCTCAGCGTCTGGGAGTGGCCCAGAAAGTGCCCTGGCTGGGAAAGAAGCTCTGTGCACAGATATCAGGGGGCTGAGCCCTTCTTTACGCGAGAGTCAGTGTGGGTCTCAAGTCCCTGAGTCCCGAGGACCCGACTGAAGCAGGTCCTGAAACCCTTGGTGCCCCTTGACCCCACCTTTGGAAGCAGGACATACTCCTGGGCATTCGCAAGAGTGTAGGACATCCTGTCTCCCTCAGCCTCCCCCCACGGCCCAGGCAGGTTAGGCCTCAGTGAGTGCATCACAGGTGGCGAGTTGATTCTCCAGTGGGACAGCAGATAATTAAACAAGTTGAATTACACCTGGTTACCAGTACCAGGTCCCAGGAGTTAACCAGTGATAGCCAATCTAGAGGGCAATTGCTTCTGTGAGGCTGCTGCATTTTTTCAGACTGTGTTTCCAAATCAGAGTTTAACTCAGCAGCTGCTAAATTTTAACTTCGTGTTGCTTCTACTGTCTGTGTTTGAGGTGAGCTGCCCCAACACGCTGTGAGCTTCTGTGCTGCAGTCGTCTCCCCACCTATGGGATCAGGTGACCTCACCTCATTTCCACCCAGGTTCCCGGAGGGCTTTTTCCAGATGTTCCAACCTCTGCTTCCTCATGCACCCCCCTCCCTGTTCACCTATGCCTGACAGTGTTGGCTGCACAGCCGCACAGTTGGTGTAACAGATCCTTAAGCAATCGTGCACTTTACCTCCTCTAGAAAGAACACTTTTCAGGCAACAGAAGTATACAGGAGAGGATTCGCTCTCTGTGCCGCTTAGGCATGCTGGGCCGAGTCAGCTATTTCTAAGACGTCAGCCTTCTCTCGGTTACATCTGAGAATGGCCCTCCAAACCAAGCACCTTTCCCCATGTCGCACCTGTGTAAGCCACTGGCCCTGCATTTGAATCTGCTAGCCAAAGACCACTGCAGGCCCTGCAGGGTTGATAATGCCACTTTCTCCTTGGGAGATGACAGGTCTCATCCCCTGCCACTACGAAGGCCAGGCGCTTCTTGCTGTGGCAGCCAGTCTAGGGACATGAGCCTTATGTCACTTGGGTCTTGGTGGCAGGCTGGTGCCCCAGAGAGAGAAGTGTATGCCCTGAACTGGGTAAGATGGGAAGTACTATCTGGGGGCACCTGGCTTTCGAACTTCTGCCCCTATCTTGTTAGCTCTATCCTTCATGGTGTGCTGCTGTAGAAAGTGTATCTTCTAGTTCATTCTTCCTGGGCACATTTTATTAAAGTAGCTTGCTTCCAGCCAAGCAATTGGAAGTCTAGGGGTGATTTACAGGCTGGGCTTGGACAACTATGCAAGCTGGATCTCTACAGATGCATTATGTTCTGCTTTTTCAATAAACATGAGCAACGATTTCAACTACAATAACAAGGCAGTTGACTGTTTCTTTGGGGTCAGGGAGATTGCAAACTTTGTCTGGAAAAGTGATTTAGATCCTTTGGGGAAAATGCCTATGAGTCACACCTGGGGCATTTAAGAGCCTGTGTACAGGACTGCTCTGCTCTCCCCATTTGGATATGGCTTAAACCTGTCTGTCTGTGAGTCCCCATCTCTCTGCACACCTGCAGAAAAAGCAGTGTTATCCTGCCTTGTTCCTCGAGGGGTACAAGCGTTATCATTAATCTATGTTTTTGGAACAGCACTGAGGTCTGCTGCCAAAGGAGTCTCCCCTGATCCCCATTATCTGCTACATTGTCATCTTGCGGCAGCCCTTGTCACTTGTTAATTATGCTACTAGGAATTTTTTATACCTCATAAAATGCCAACTGCAAGAAATACTCAGAATCTTACATTTTAGCCAGTCTGTCACAGCACCTTCTCAGAAACACAACCCATTGTTTAGTTTCTCTCTGTGGTATGCAGAACCCAAGTGATTTTTTTCCAAGATCACACAGTAAGGCAGATGAAATCAAGGATCTTTAAGCTGCTGTCCCCAGGAGTCACATGCTGGCAACACGTGGACCACAGTGAGTGTGGGAATGAGCTTTCTGTGGTTGTCATGATGCCTTAGGATGCAAGAGCCTTGCACGGGAACCCTGCTCAGGCTGCCATCTCTGCTGCTGTTGCTTTCTTTAAAACAATTTAATGCCAGGCTTCACCCCACATTAATGATCTTTCCGGGTATCAGGAAGAGAATCAAATGCAAGTCACAGTGACTCTGAATCAATGGTTGGCTTAGCAACAATTAATCTTTCTTTCTTTCTCGAGTGCTGGGGATTGAACCTGGGATCTTGCACATGCTAAGCAAAAACTCTAGTAGAACTAGACCTCTAGCACCTACAGTTCACAGTCTATGATTCTTAGAAAAGCAAGCACCCAGAATGCATTAGGCTCTTTTACAATCTTATTTAATATTCTTAGTAGTTGTAAATATAGATCCTAACCCCTATTCACCAAGAGGAATCTGAAACTTCAAGAAATTAAACTGCCCAAGCTACACAGGTGCTTAGACAGGGCTTCAAATCCATTTCACTTCTCTCTCATTTCAACATTATTTCTATCTGTCTTTGCTCACCTGGACACAGAAAATCATTACTCTTCGCCCAAAGGCTGTGGAGAGTTTTGAATGTGTGGTTCAGTGCCTGATACCACAAGCACTCAGGAGATCTACTTGCAATAATTTGTATTATTAACACCAGAAAGGCACAGTGTGTGTCATGATATGGGAATATGGTGGGATTCCACATAATTTTCTTGTGAACATTTATCTGAATCTTTGATCCTTATTTTTCTATTCACCACAGAACTTTCTAGGCCTTTCTCATTTTTTTTTCCTGACAGGCCATCTATTGGCTTTTCATTCACACACAGTGGTTACTTTTGCAGGTTTATCGAGGAAACAGAGCCCAGCAGAAATGCATTCCCCTCAACTCCTTTCCCTGCTCACACTGTCCGGTCTTGCCCATCCTGCTCACCCCATGTCCCTGCCAGCCACATCCAGGGTCAGCAAGATGACCTTACCCTCTTACACAGCAGTTCATACTGATCCCCCTAAAATCTGGTACTTTGCTCTGAATGTGTTCTCTGCAAGCCTTTGTGTTGGAAACTGTCCCCAAATGCCTATGCTAACAGCATGTAGAGGTGATTAGGGTTTGATTAGGTCATGAGGGTAGGGCCCCCCTGGAAGGGATTACAGGTTTTCTAAAAAGAAGAAACATCTAAGCTTGTATCCTTGCTCTGTCTTGCCATATGATACCTACCTACAACAGGAAGCTCTTACTAAATGCCAGATATTCCTTGCTCTTTGACGTCTTGCCCTCCAAAGCCATGAGCCAAAAATACTTCTACTCTTTATAAATTCCAGTCTCAGGTATTTTGTTATAATAACAAAAATAATGGGCTAAGGTGACTGGGTTCAATAGTCCTCTTTTATCAGAAATATTTGCCTCTTTAGAGATTCTTCTGTATCCTTTATCCATACTCAGAACTACTCATCCTAAGAAAAGACCAGAAACACATACTGACCACCAGCACAAGAGCAGCTATGGCTCTGCTTCTCCTTGGGTCATTACCCTGGCTCTGTCCTTTAATCTATAATGGAATTTTTTTTTTCAGTACTTGTGATTGAACACAAGGTCTTCCCCCTGACCTATATCCCAGATCTTTGAAAAAAACTTTTTAAAAATTTTGCAGTATGGTCTGAGTCACTCAGTTTCCAAGGCTGGCTCTGGCTTGCAGCCCTCCTGTGTCAGCTTCCTGGAGTGCTACTATTACAGAGTGCACCATCACACCAGCCATGTCATGGAAACCCCTACTATTTTCAAGTTCAGGCTTCTGTCTACTCACTTGCCATGTGCCTCATTGGCCCATCAGAACCAGTGCTGGTCCAGAGAAGAGTTGCTAAAGCTATTTCCTCCCTGATCTCCTCAAACAATAAATCTGAAGCACTAGACATGATTCCCCAACAAAACTCTTTTCTTCCTTTGTTTACAACCTTATGCTTCCCTCCCATCTCCTGGCCACTGTAAAACCATACTACTAGCCTTCTCTACATAATCTTAAATTTACTATTTAAACAAACAAAGCCACCAATAATCAAATGTCTATGCCTGTAGTTACTGGAGGTGAAGATCCGTGATTCCTAGTAGAATTTTCTACAGTAATATGAAGCGTATATTTACATAATGTGATCTCCAAGATGGTGGCTACCATCTTTAGTTCTTAAAAAATGACTCATGTGATGATACATGCTGAAGGCCCCCACACAAACTCTGCCTAGCTGTCCAGTAGTGGGACCTTGATCAGCACCTGGTAGGGCCCCACTCAGTACCCTAAAATAGTCTGGGACCTTTGGTTCCTGCTTGGGCCCCATCCAGTGACCCCCAGGTAGCTGGGGAGCAGCTGTGTGCTGAGTGACGTGTGCTGACGACCCCTACAGCAAACTATACCTAGCTGTGCAGCCATGGGACCTTGCTTGGAATCTGGCAGGGCCCCATCCAGAATCCCCAAACAGTCTGGGACCTTTGGTTCATCACTCAGGTCCTGCTTGGGCCCCACCTATTGACCTCAGGCAGCTGTGTAATTTTAGTGGGTTGTGTGGTGTAAGCTGAAGACCTGCACAGTGAATTCCACCTAGCCATGCAGCTAAGGATTATGTTGTGTGGAACCTGGTAGGGCCCCCCACCAGAGGCCGCAAGAAGCTGAAGATCTTTGATGTGCTGCATGGTGTTGGTGGAAGGCCTGCCCAGTGTACTGCATCTACTGTTAAGGCTGGGTACACCACTCAAAACCTGTAAGAGTCTGTCCAGTGACCTCAACCAGCTGGGGAGCTTCAGTGAGCCACGTGGGGTGTGCTCAAGATCCACCCAGCATACTTCCCCCATTTGGGGAGATTTTGAACACCACTAGGGATCCAGTAAGGCCTGCCTAATATCTCCCACTCAACTGGGGAGACTCCCTGCAGTACAGTCAGCTACCTTCAATCCAAGAAACAATTGAGACATTTCATTCAACTGCCCCAGGGTAGCACAGGAAAATGACAAAAAGAAAGAGCAAAATGCAATCTCAAACCTCCAGCTCATCCCAAACAAGCCTAGGAGACATGGACATAGAAGTAAATGTGAGCTATACACTGAAATTCCTGAAATGATAACAACTGAAGTAAACAAAAAATTCCATGAAGCTTTAGAATTCAAATCAGAAATAATATCCCAGGTAAAACAAGAAATGATAAACTTAGTGACAGAAATCTGAACACATCTAAAGAGAACATAGTTAAAAAAATAGAGGAACACAGAAAAATCATTAAAACCTTGAGTGAACAATGTAAGAAAGAGCTAGAGTGCATGAATCAGATCCAAAGAGATACCCAGGAGATCAAAATTTCACCAAAATCTGGCAAAACTGCCTCAGGAAAATGAAATAGACTTTCAGACCTCGAAGACAAGATTGCAGCCAGTGAACAGGAAAGGAAAGATTTTCCCAAACATGAGATTAGAAACTGATATCAAGATCAATGAAGCATATAGAACTCCAAATAGCCATAGTCAAAATAAAACTACACACAGATATATAATAATCACTATCCCAGAAATCAAACAAAAGAATAGAATATTGAAAGTTGTCAGAGAGAAAAGACAGATCACATAAAGGAAAACCTATCAGAATCACAGCAGACTTCTCAACACAAACAATAAAGGCAAAGAAGAGCATGGAGTGAAGTATTTCATATACTAAAGGAAAATAATTTCCAACCATGCTGATGTACCCTGCAAAACTGTCCTTCAAAATTGATGGAGACAAAGAACAGCTGAAGAACTTCATAATCACCAAACCAGTCCTGCAAAGAACACTGAAAGACAGTTTAGATACACTTAGGAAAAAAACACTAAACAAAGCAGACAATTAAACAGAACAGAAAGATAAAGATGCAATGGCAGAAATATAACATGTCAGCAATAAACCAATATATAACAGTTATAATCATTAACATAAATGGTCTCAATGCACCAATTAAAAGAAATACACTGGGAGAAACAACATCCAACCATATGCTGCACAAGAAGCCCACCTAACCAAAAAGGAAATTCATAGACTGAAAGTCAAAGGATGGAAAACAATATTTCACGCAATAAGAACTTCACAAAAAAGCAGGAATAGGGGCTGGGGATTTAGCTCAGCGGCATAAGTGCCTGCCTTGCAAGCAGGCAGTCGTGAGTTCGATCCCTGGTACCGATAAAAATGAAAAAGACAAAAAAAAAAAAAAAAAAAAAAAAGCAGGAATAGCTATTACCATTTGCAGAAAATGTGAACTTCAAACCAAGATTTATCAAAAGAGATAAAGAAGGTCACAGCATACTGGTTAAGGGAAAACTTCAAGAGGAAGAGATAACAATCTTAAATATATATGCACTAAATATGGGAGCACCCAG